AGCCTACGAGAAAGATGGCCCGACAAAAGAATCCTTGCAGCCGAGGCTGATGTCACCTCAGCGTTCAGAAATGTTAGGATATCACCAGATCATGCTCACAAGTTCTGCTACGTGATCGGAGACGTGCTAGTAGCGGATCTACGGCTGACATTTGGCTGGGCAGCGTCACCAGGATTGTGGGGTGTGTTAGCCTCCGCTGCAGATCACTCGCACCGCAACACGTCCCTCGCGAACGCCCGACTACTACCAGAAGGAATCGCAATGATGTCTCACGTCAAAAGGCGTCCCAACCCCAATACCATCGTCGGCGGGCGTACAACCGCATAGAGGCGGGGGACCCGCGGGCGATTTCTTGGCCAGGGTCTACGTCGACGATTTCTTGCTCACGAAGGTCCAGCATGACCCCACTGACGAATCGGCACTCATTGCTTCCGCCTCGCTAGCTTCAGACCATGTCAGACTGTTTGGCAAGGCAGAAGTTGGAGAAACCCCCATTCTCGCCCCAAGCGTACTGACTGGGACACGGTCATACCATAGACACGCATGATGGCAGAATTGCAACTACACCCGAACGGGTAAGCGCGATTCGGAACATCCTAGTGGCAGATTGGCCCCACGATAGGAAGAAGGCCAGTGTTCAAGAAGTCCTCAGTATTGCAGGAAAACTGTGGAACCTCAGCTATCTATGTTATCAGGGCTGGTAGGTACTTTGTGTGGCAACTGCTCCGCCTATCGGGTCTGCATACGCAAGCCAGTCGACACACACGGTCACGACGTCTAGTGGACTTGGGTAGAGAGTTCCACGGCGATATCGCCTTCTGGATGTGGGCCCTCAACCAGCGCCTGGCCCTTCGAGGGGAGTCCCTGAGCGCATCGTTCCTACTCCACGTAAAACGAGCACCATCACGCCTCTACCTCTCAGACGCTAGCTTCACAGCGATTGGCGGCTACTGCCCCGAACTAAAGACTTTCTGGAGATACACGATCGAACCATCGTTGTCTGCGGAGCTCAAGCGCAAGGCGCAGGTGAAGGAGACGTCAGGCATTACGATCAATCTGTTAGAACTCATGGGCATGTTCATGACGGCGTGGGTAGTCCAAATGATCTTGAAAGACAGACCCGTAGAAGAAGGGCAGTCGGACGTGTTGATGCGTGGGGACAACGTGTCAGCCGTCAGCTGGACTAACAGGTGTGGGGGTTCGCGTGACAGGCGCGCTAGCCTCATAGTGAGACTCATGGGTAGGATGGAAATTTCTTGTGGCTGGTGCCACGTGGCCAAGCACATCCCTGGTCGAAAGAACACACTCGCGGACGGGATCTTACGTTGGGAAGAAAACGAGATCGCCACCAACGTAAGAATGCTCATGAAAGACTCAGGGTGGACACAGCAGGAGATCGGGGAAGGGAGACGAGCGTTGCTCAGCATTATCCTCCAAAAGAAATTGCCGAAAGAAAGTCTGGACGACTCGGTATGGGACATTATGGTCCAAGGAACGGAAAATATCTGACACGGCAGAGGGATCGAAGGTTAGGGCAGTTGGACACCGCTCTGCGTTCTGGTCGATCAACGAATTCTCAAACGAATTGAGATAGCGAGAAGCTGGAGCGGTGGACACGCGTCACACTCACTGTTTCATGACGCCTTGATAAAATGGATAGCCGGGGGAGGCAGAGTTGGTTTGGTCGACCAAGTTTTCTGTTCTCCCCTCAAGCCAAGTTGGGGCTATCCCCGGGTTCGGCATGAATTGGTCGTACCTTAGAAGGGAACCTCGAAATGTGCGCATTCCTCACGCTGTGTAAACCCGGTGATCGAATATCAGGAACATAGGGAAAGGATGGCCGGGGAGGCACGAGCGTCGAGGGGAAGTGGTACCAACAAGGTGTATCAAAGGATGTGGCTCGAGCAGGGGCGGGTTCGGGCCCGTGGCTCCGCGAGAGCGATGGAGTGGAAATTGCGGTGCGTGAGCTGTCTGTGTTCATGGCTTGTCGGTGTTTCGGTCACAAGAACCAGAGTCAGACTATTCGCGGGTATCTGTCAGCCATCAAGTACTTCCATAAGATGCACGCAGGATGGGAGTTGCCCACTTCGCATTTCCAGATCCTCGCCATGTTGAAGACCATTGATAGGGTCCACGCCAATACGCAGACGAAGCCTAAGATAGGAATCCACTTTCATGGGACATGCTAGAAGCTGGAAAGAGCGTGGTCTAACATTCGGGAGAATCAGTGAAGTTGATTTGGTGTGGACTTGCCCTCTCGTACCTGCTGATGTGCCGAGCTTCAGAAATCTGGGCGGACGATTTGGGGCTCGTGCACTCAGATTTTTGCCTGACTAGAGGAGACCTGGGTTTCTTTTGCGGTCCGGTAAGGATTGCATGGGCAGACAGGAGGCAGGCTAGCCGAGTGGAAGTCACGTTCAGAGCGTCAAAAGCAGATCAGAAACGTTTGGGAGCAACCTTCACTAGATCGGGAGAAGCGTTGAAGGTGTTACTCGATCTTATAGATCTGCACCCCGAGCTTGGGAGTCATGCGCCGTTGATACAATCGTGGACACAAAACAGGTGAAAGGTTTTTTCGAGGGCAGAGGCATCGAGACACCTCAGGTTACTCGTGAGTGTGACGGGTAGAGACCCGCAGAAGTATGCGTTGCATTCAGGGAGGATCGGGGGGGGCACGCACCTAGCAAGTATAGGGGCGTCGGTAATCCAGATCCAGAGAGCCGGGAGGTGGAAATCATCGGCTTTTATGTTGTACGTTAGGGCTGGGGGTGAAGGAGCAAAGTTCGCGTCTCAGGCCCTTACGAAACCCGAGGAATGACCAAGGAGCGGTTCGGAGGAGTAAGTCATAGGACATGCCCAATGAAGTAAGATATGCTTAGGCCAGAGGCCGAAACAAAAGTAATGATAGTAGGGCAATCTTGGGAAGTTTGCAACGGGTTAGTCCGATAAGAAAACGTTGGGAGCAAGACGGCATTTTACCTGCGCTCTCAATTTGTTTCATGTGTATTGGTTTTTCTTTGGTTGCCTGCAGAAAAATAATCCAGAATTCTTGAGCAAACATCAAAGTGAACATTCAGTACGTAATTGAATCTATCTGTGGTTTGTGAAGGCGTGTTGGAATTCGGAAAAGCGGGGATCGAAGAAAAATAGAGACAGCCTTGGTGTCAGAAAGTTTTTGTGAGCTCGCTGGGCGAGAGACAAGCAAGTTCGTTTGAGAAAAGGAGAGGAGTAGCAGAGATGGCAGCTTTGAGGAGCAGCAAACACGGGGTGCCGCCTAGGATTTGATCGATTTCCCGCCCACCCACACCTATCACTCAAGAGAGGGGGGAGCATGGGGGGGAAATTTCCAGAACGCTTCCACAAACCACGGATTCACGGTTATAACGAATCGCTATACCCCGTGTACCCTTTTTTGCAGGGTACACCTCGGGAAAATTCCCGCCGTTTTTTTCCCGCCGTGGTTGGGCGGTCCCGGTACTGGCAGTAATTACCGCCGAAAAACGAAATAATACCGCCTACCGCCTAAAAAGTACCGCCATATTGCAGTACCGCCGAAGAAGTACCGCCAAAAAACGAAGTACCGGGAACCGCCTAAAAAGAACCGCCATATTTCAGTACCGCCAGAAAAGTACTGTTTTTTGGCGGATCCCGGTACTTCGTTTTCCGGCCGTACCGCCATAATTGGCAGTACCGGGAACCGCCAAAGGCGGTACCGCCGGGAAACGAAATACCGCCTACAGCCAAAAAAGTACCGCCACATTGAAGTACCGCCCCGCCTGAATCCGCCTAAAAGACTAATACCGAGGTGTACCCTGCTTTTTTGCCTCTCGCCGCTCGTTCACGAAATTTCCGGAACGCTTCCACAAACCACGGATTCACGGTTATCCCGAATCCTTCGTCTCGTTCCGGGGCTGTTGTTGTTGTTGTTGTCTTCACATTGAAAACCGTTCCGATCTCTCTCCACCCAGTACCTTCATACGTCCGTACTGGTCCAACACTTGACGCGGTCGATTCCCGTGGTCACAGGCTAACTTACCCGAAAAAGCTACACTAAAATAACTGGCCCCGAGGGGTCCGCAAGTCAATAGAAATCAACGACAGATATTCTGGAGTCCTCCGCTCCCTCTGCGCGCTATGCGAGGTAACAACTGAGACTATAGGAGTCAGCATCACGGGCCAGAGAGAAAGAGGTACACCCCCTTCGTTCAATCTTGGTGCTTCACACGCAAGCAGAGACAAGACCATATGACACAGAAAAAGAGAGAAAAAGAGAAAAAAGTCCACCGGACTGACTGTCAGAACAAAAAACATAAAACAGTGTTCTTATCCGTGGAGCCCCCATGGGGGCGCCACCAAACGGCGGTGGCACAGGCTGGGCAAGCACACCACAACCACAGGCAGGGGTGGGTGGGTTGGAGCAAGGTGGAGAGAGAGGCAGGGGCCGAATAGTTCAGCATCAAGTCTTTTCTGTTTTACTGTATATCGGCTACTATACAGCAAGCAGTAGACGATGGATGGAGGACAGCGGAGGGGGAGATGGATCTACGGAACAACTAGCGGAGGGGGACTGTCGCCATATTAAAGAGGGTAGCCCACACACAAAACTGTAGAGCGGGGCAAGCACGGTACACTGCTGCATGTGGCAGGGTGTCGTGCTTCGAACATCTTCGTGTGTGAGCGTGGGTGTGTAGGGCGCAAGTTGTGGCCACACGAGGAGCCCGAGAAGGTTACCCACGGCCGGGTTATTTGCTCCTCAAAAGATTCGAAAGTATCCAAATCCATATCCCAGACTGATGACGCTCTATGTTACAAGACGGAATCCAGAGCAGATGAACTGCGCTCATGCCCGCCAGCAGGTGGTGCGTGACACCGCCTTCCACACCAAGCCCTAACCCTCACACTAACCCGACAATAAAGACTGCAAAATATTAGATGACGTCCTGCCTGGCGCACGCAGAGAGCGCCCCTGCCGGGGATGCTCTTTTTTCAACGTAGGTTTTTCACAGCAAATCCCTCATTCGTACGGGACGTCGGACGGCGTTCGTGTACCCCGCACGGAACTGGTATCGAATCGGGATTTTCCCTTTTCCGCTTCCGACCCCCTCGTCTTCCACCGTGCCCCGCCTCGCCACCCCTTCGTGTAGGACACGCTTGGAACGCTCTGCCGCGGTCGCCTGATGCCCGTCAGTCGCCGAACAGCTGCTGCTGCCGGCCTGTACCGCCCGTGTCTCGCAAAGCTTGTTAACTGGAGACTTGGAAGGAGACTTGGTGTTGTGGGTAGCATCGATGGCAGCGCTTTGCTTGGCAGCAGAAGCGTCGTCCCCGGCGCCGCGTCGGGAGCCAGTGCCGTCCTTCCTCCCGGAGATCCAGTTGGTGCGGTTCCAAAACGGTACTGGATGCGCGGGCCTATCCTTCTCACTATCGCGGAACTTATTAGTGGCCGGCGGTGACGGCGGGGGCGTTTTGTTGGTCTTCGTCTTCTTCATCCCCGCCGACCCCACCGCCGTCGACGCCCACTTTCTCTTCGCCGCTGCAGTTGCTGCCGCTCTTCCGTCTTCGTCAGCTTCGCTTGTGCTCTTCCCGCTAGATGCTGGTGCACCTGACGATTTTTCCGCGTTGGTCGTGAAAGGGTGCCCGGTTCCTCGTGTTGCTGAAGAGGCTGCGGCGAACGGATCAGATGCCGCGTTCTTCGCAAATGCAGCGTCTTCCCGGTGTGATAGTTTGGCTGCCTGCGGTGCAGCGGGTTGCAGTGATGAGAACGTGGAAGGCGGGCAAAGTGACGCCGAGGGGGGGTAGTAGGCGGAACTTACAATTTTTACTCGTAAATCAGGGTCTTAGGGGCGACTTCAGGTAAACGTAATACATTTCCAAGCAAGCAAGGGGAAAGCCAGAGCCACTCGCTAGTGCTGAGGCACGAAAAACACACGCGCCTAGACGTGGTCCGCTTTGCTTCTACCGTTGGCGCGGAGCGCAAAAAAAACAAACGGGTGGTACGCAAAAGTGGAGGGCTGGTGGGCACATTTGGCGTAGGCACATGAGCGTCTATAAGTTTTGCTGAACGTTCTTAACCTACCTGACACACAAGTCTCCTTTGAGAGTTCCCGTTTGCAAACGGTGTTTCTCGCACAAGGCAAGGAACGACTTGAAGCGAGGCCCACGCGGGACATTTGAGGTGTTTGGGTTTCACATCGCAGTTGATACGTTTTTTGTATGTCAAAGGCCAAACACCTCTAGCATTCAGGAAAAGCCATTCGTACGTACACGTTCCGGTGCAAGCCCCACGGCGACACATATCGTGTATCCGTACCTCTGCCTGGCGCATGCCTTCGAGGGCGACTTCGTGCGCCACCATCGGGCGAAGAGGAGGGGCAAGCCGGGGGTGCGCGAACTCGTAACCCTCGTACTTCAGCAGCTGTGGAATTTGCAAAAATGAACGTGTGACGACCGAGGCCAGCGAATGTGCGCCGGGAGTGCCGAACGCGACACAACAAAGGGTTCATTAAGGTCCAGAGCACATACAACTTCTGCGCACCTTCAAGAAGGGCAATACAAATAATATTACGACTACAATAACTGAGATTAAACGAGTTTACACAACGCGGACCGGAAGGTCGACAGCCAAGGCAAGGCCGTACAAAAACAAGGGCAGTACGTTACTCTGCGGCAGATTTTGCCATGAAAAAATCTGCCTTTCAAACCTCTCCCCACGCCCCCCGGTCCCTCCTCGTTTCTCAACCTCTTGACTGCACTGTATAAACATGCCACGAAAAGCCATGCGCCCCGTGTGCTGCATGCGATTGATACGCAACCCCCAAAGAGACAAGGGGGGGGGGGGGTACGCCCACCAAACTCCCCGAGAAACAACCAGCGAAACCAACAACTTCCATCCTCACGGCCTTGACCTTCCACGCTCACCCCCTTGTTACGCCCACCTGATCGATCGCCGGCTCAAGCGCGAATTCCTGGGCCCTCGCCGCCGCCCCGAACGCGGGTGGGGCGCTGGCCGACGAAGACGAGGATGCCGACTGCGGGGAGAACGTGAGGCCGCAAGAGAGGAGGATGCCGACCAGGTCACGGAAGCGTGCGCGCTCCTGCGGGCTTAGTAGGTCCGGGTTGAGCTGTGCGGCGATATAGTTTGGGGAGAAAGCGAGGGGCGGGAGGGGTGGGAAAGGTCGCTCGTATTGATACCAAGTAACGGGTGTATACCCTTGGGAAGGGGTTGACATTGAGGAATGGGCAGGTCAATCTTTTCCGGCGGAAACAAGGAAAGCAGTGCAAGATACCAAAACTGGCAAACGCTACGTACTTGGAGGGAATAGCCCAAACACGGTACACCAGTAGAACACCGAGCAGAGTTGCAAACGAGAGCGGGTAGGCTTACCGGCCTCAGGGTGGGCGCCAAGATATCCATCAGGTGGGACAGCATGTCCAGCACCAACGCCTGCACACATAAACGCACGCAAAACAACATGAAAGTAGCATGGAAAACGGGGGGGGGGGAGAGGGGTTTGAGGATACGAAGACAAACCTGGAAAAACGCACACACCACGACGGACGCTTTCGGGCACGCGCATTCAGCAGCAGCAGGCCCCTGTGGCCCGCGGCGGTGGGTGGCTGGGGGAAAAGGAAGCACTTGGAGACAGTGTTGTGCGTATACGCCATGATTTTATACCAGGTTCAAGTCTCGGAGGACGTGTACTTTTGGCCGACCAAGACGGGTTGGGCAGGGGGCACGGGAACGGAAGGAAAGGGAAGGGCAGGGTCTCGAACTCCAAGCGCGACGTCATCCATTTTCGTTTGATGCACGGTGGGCGAGCGGGAAATTGCGCAAGCATATTGCGCAGCTGCAGCAGGTGGTCACACCACCGTCGACCCGTAAGAATGAAGTGCACATGGGCGCACCGCAATCTCCTGTGACGCCCCCCCCGCCCCCCCAAACAAAGCGCTGAAAAACTTCGATTTTGTGGTCTCGCAATGAAACGTTCGCGTCAAGTCAATGCGGCACCACAGAACGCCAGGCTGCCATCAGGCTGCAAAATAACGCGGAAGGATAGAACGCTTGACGCACCTTTCTGTTGCTGGGAAGATTTAGATTTGCCCTCGGGGGCAAAGAGAAACAGTGCAAAGCAACGATAGCTCCCTCCGTGAGGCTGTATTTACCCCCCGAGGGGTGCTGTTCCACAAGAAAACAAATGCCCCTTCGCCGAGGGCGAATCAAAGGAAACTACGTCTACTGTGAGCCATCTCTCCCAATTACAAGTCGGGAAATATCATCTGCCGCGGCGTTTCCATGCTACTTATTTCCGAAGCCAGCGTGGCTGCGGTTTTCACCTCGAAAAAGGCATCTCTCGGTCGCCCAGAAACGCTGCGCTTGGGCGCACGTCAACATGCAACATGGCTATCTTAACCCATGCAAACCCAAAAAATCCTGACAAGGTTTTCACTGGTCACTCGGCAAGCGCGGTCGATGATCCAACACGCACACGCATGGACACATACACCCCGGGTCACCTGAGTCGTGCGCCCGGTGGCACCCAGCTGGCGGCCGTCGGCGAAGCTGTGCAAGATGTTACTCTTCGCGGCGCGAGCGGTGCGGGCCTCGTAGTCCTTGGTCGGGGCAACAAAAACCACCAAGACATGGGCGAGAAAAAAAACGACATGAGCACGTGGGCTGACGCACCCTGTTATGACGACCCGACAAGGGAGAGAGGGGTACAAGCCAGTGAACCATCAGAGAGAAAGTGGAGAGAACACAACCGACCACATCGACAACGGATCCAAGCACACGAAGGAAAAGGCGAAACCACGTCCACCACGTCAGCAACTTTCGCGTGTTCCTGAGAGAATAATTGCGCAACAGTTATAATGTGAACCGCAGCTGCTGTGCACACGAAAGCAGCACGAGTTTCAAGAAGCGGGACGAACCAGCAACGGCAACTCGACACGCCAAACACACGACCGAGGCGAGCACACGAAACGCAAAACTCGCAACAGGCAGCACTACCCAAGGACAAACTCCAATACCGCGCGCAACAACCTTCCAACAAGTCACAGAACGAAAGAACGAAATCACGTTCCAAACTTCCTCTCCGCATTGTTCCACGTAACTGGTCATGAAATGTTTTCCAGCCAACCAGCCTGCCTGCCCCCCCCCCCGCCCTCTCCAGGTGTGTTCTCCCGTCCCCAATACCATAAAACCTCATTTTTCAGGCTACTCCTCGCTTTCCCTTGGCTCTCCCGGGCTGGCCACCCCTTGCCTAAACCCTTCCCACCTTCTTGGGCTGGGTGACTGTCGACCGCTGGTCGGAGCGGCAGAGGAAATGAACCCCCGCCGCGGCAACCGGGGCGTATCTGGAGAAAGAGTAGTCCTGGGTCTGGTTCGTGCGCGTGTCCATGAGGTCGGCCATCTCCAGCCAGTCCATCGCCGCCGCCGCCTTTGTTGGAGTGGGACCAACGTCGGTATACACATTAAGACACGCGGGCCTTTCGCGTTGTGACTGTGATGTCGGGTTGTGGGTATGGGGTGCTCTCTGTTCTAGCGGGGGCGGTCGTTTATGGTGCGGAGGGGGGGGGGGTTCTCGGGACTGCTTGTCCTTGTTCCTCTCGCTTCACTCCGGCCCGCTAATTTTCTCGTTTTTTCGGTGCGACCGCTTGCGAATGCGCTCTCGTCTGTTCACGTCTTGAGGCAAAGCCGTCGAAGAGGTTCGACATCTCCAGCCAGTCCCTTGGTGCTTGCCGCCGCCTCTGTCCTCCGCGTTTGGTCGTTCTCTTGGGATACGGTAACGACCGCGATTCGCCACATTGTATCGTTTCGTGTTTGTCTCGCTTCGAAAAGCGCTGCCGATTTATACGAAGGATACAACCATCCAGCGTTCATGATTCATCTTTGGATAAAGCGTTTCCGGCCTGCTCTGTTCCAACACCTTTCCGGCTTGTTGTGTGCGTGTGTACGTGCTTTTGGTATATATCGTGAACCTGCCTGAAGCGAATCATCGCATACATCCGCTACGACAACAGTTGTCTGCACACTCCGCTACAGCCATCCGCCACTAATTCGTCGTGCCGAAAACACCGTGCAAACTCAGACGGAACAAATACCTTGCTGAGGGTAGGGTCGTTGAAGCGTACGCCCAAGAAGTTCTCGTGAACTCCCGCAAGGACCTTACTGTGGTCGTTGAAGGCCTGTACCTCCTCAAACACTTCGGCGTCCTTGCGGTCGGCCATCGAGCCCTGGGGACAACGCATGCACGGAAGACGAGACCGTTCAAGAGAACGGGTGTGTACGGTGTGTGTGGTGAACAGACAAAGACGATGGACACCACACCACGTCGAGCGCAAACGAACAACCCGGGTACAGTACGCCACCAGATGGTTTCGCTCTCGTGTTCTCAAGAGTCAGTCGTTCTTTGAATATTGTTGTTCGTAGGTGACAGGTGCCGATACTAACGTTTAAACCGTCATTTCAATGAGAAACAACAACAGTCAACAAAGACACATGCGTGTCAACACCAAAAGCCAACCCATAGGCACATGCTGGACCAGCTACTGTTTGGGCCCGAGGTCACCTCGAGTCTTTCCAAGACGTCACGCAAAAATCGATAGCACTACAACGATGACAACGAACGGCATCCATGGACATTCGGCTTGCCCTGCTTCCGCCCGGCAGAAGTATACTGCTCACGCGCATCCACCAAAGAGCGCCCAACAAAGAGCAACGACAACCACAAAGCCATACTCGTTTAAAACGGTACCATGCTTGAGACCCTTGAGAACTTGCCTGCTCCCCTCCGAGGAAGAGGCGCCGCTTCGTGCCCGATTTCTTTCGGGTGAACACGGACCGGAGAACTGTGCGGGGAACGAGCACCAGCACAGCAAGGGAGGTCATGAGTGGACGGGGAGTTCTACCCGTTAACCAAGCACGAGCCCGGCCGATCGAAGAACGTTCAAGGTCAGAACACCGTGCACATGTCGACAAAAAAACAACGGCCAGGTGTCAACTGTTCGTGGGCGCGGCCGGTCTCAGCACAACCCCTACGGAGGCTCACTGCTGTGAAAAGGGCACTTCACCCGAGAAGACTCTTTTTCGACAGCTACGTGGCACCAACAAGAAGGCAAAACACCGACATACCCATCCAAACATCCAACCCAACGGCCCAAACCAAATCTTACCCAACCTCATGCCCACCCAGGCAACCCCACGACGCAAAAGAAAACTAAAGTTTTTGTTTTTGGCCTACTCGCCCGCCCAAGGCCCAGAACACACCTTCGAACAGGTCCCGGCGCTCGTCCTTGATCCCCTCCGCCACGGCCGTCAGCAGCGCCGCGGAGGCGTTCGTCACACTTCCCGAGGACGCCCGCCTCGCCACGAACTGGAGGGTGTGGAGGCACGACCTGACGTCGAGGTGCGAGCGGTCCGCGAGCCTCGTAAGGGCGTCCGTGTTGACGGTCAGGCGCTCCGACGTGCAGATGGCCTGCGCGGCCGAGGAGGCAAAAGAACAAATTCCAACCATGGGAACGGTGCGGTGGGATTTTGATCGGGGAGGGGGCGTGTACTGGAGGGGACGGGGGTTTAGGGGGGGGGGTACAACACGTCGTATATGGTCACAAGAGGAAAAGCATGAAACGGTCTAGTGACCATGTACGGTTTGGTTTACAAGTCAACAAACAATGCGCATGTTCATTTGTCTATGTGACGGCGCTGGATCCAGCCTTGTTGGCCAAGTCTTGCGTGACCTCTTCGAACGCAAAAGGGGACGCCCGAACACCGTACAATTCGAAGCGACAAAATCTCGCCCCCGACGCCGCCCCGCTCTCCCGAGTTTCGATCGGCCTTCATCGCCACGTTGTCTTCAAGGAGTTGACAGAATACAACAATGAAAGACGTTTTTGTTTTCCTCCACTATATCCAATCATTGGCCTCTTCATGGCACCGCACCGCCGTCTGCCTGAGTACCTTGAGGCGCTGCACCAGTCTCGCCGGTGAGGACTTGGCCCTGAAAACGAACACCTGGGCGATGGCCCGGATCGGCCTTAGCGCCGGCGTCCATTGGTCGTTACAGATAAGCACCTTTTGGGGGAAGGGGCGCACGGGGGGGGGGGGGGGGGGGGGGGGGGG